TCATGAAAAAAGTGTGACTGTTAAGCTGTTGTCATTTAACTTCATGGCATTGCATCCAAGGAGAAACATATTTCAAAGTTTAGATCCTTATGCGAGGAGAAGTACAAAGAGAAGAAAACAGTCAGTAATTCACACTTTCTTCCGAGAACAATAGAAGTTCACACTGCCTTTCAGTGGCAAGCTGAATTAAAGCAATTGTTTTTAAGGTGTTACATAACTGAGATAATGTAGAACTTACATTTTACATTTAATATTACATTTATTCATTTTAGCTGACGCTTTTATCCAAAGCGACTTACAATTGCTATATATGTCGGAGGTCGCACGCCTCTGGAGCAACTAGGGGATAAGTGTCTTGCTCAGGGACACATTGGTGTCTCGCAGTGGATTTGAACCCGGGTCTCTCACACCAAAGGCATGTGTCTTATCCACTGCGCCATCACCACCCCCATCTTATATATAAGATCACACCACTATGATCTTACAGATTTATGAACTTCTTACTACAAGAGGCGTGTGTGTGTGTGTGTGTGTGTGTGTGTGTGTGTGTGTGTGTGTGTGTGTGTGTGTGTGTGTGTGCGCGCGCGTGCGTGTGTGTGTGTGTGAGACACAGACAGAACCATTTATAATTATGTCATTTGTCACAATTAGGATTAGATGAAATTGCGCATGTTTATTTGTTTTGATTGTTATTGCATTTGTTGCAAGATTTTTTATCATCACTATAATCTTATATATAAGATCACACCACTATGATCTTACAGATTTATTAATGAACCGCTGGTTTTAAAATCTTCCCGGTCGACTGATATTTCTTATGATATTCGCTTCATACATCACAATGCTCATGATAACAGTTAACTCTACAATAAATAAATCCACTTCACCAGTTAATTACTCTTCAACTTTTTCACATGACTTCAAGGTCACCACCATTAAGCTTATTTAGAGAACATTTTCCCTGCAAGTTCAATAGTTTGCAAGAGCCTGATTTTAAACACGCAGAGGCTGTAAAAAGCGGACTAGTGAGTAGATGAGTTTACCCGTTCATCGTGATGAAGTGTAATGTCCCGACAACCTCTGTCCCATTTAACCACTTGTTAGCAACAAGTCAAAGCATTTGTATTTTGCACGATTGTTTTTGATTTGATTACATCATTTGCAGTGTTTCATGGAATGGGTATTGCTTCACTTTTTTCTTCAAAAATAACTTATTTTTGCTTTTAAGTTGTGATTCATCTCAGAGCTGGCCTAGAACTCTTCATTGATGAATTCTTTAAAAAAAAATATAGGAAGAAAATGTATGGACAAAATACTTGTAGAACCAAGGCTGCTGCAAAAAGTTAATCATCTGCACCACTGGCACGTTTATTCTTATTCTTCATTTTATACTTTCTTTTTAAATGTATTGATTGTTTTCTAAAAATTAACATCTTACTCTGTTGGCACTGTATTTATTTTGGGGGGTTTCAGAACAGGACAGAGAAAGGGAGAGAGGAGGGGTTTAACTTACAATCTCTCACTTCCGCTAAAATGGATCACAGATTTTTATGACATCACCACGGACTTCAGCTTCTCATCACATCTTCTGTCCAATCAAATGCTCTCTAGAATCTAAAGCTCCGCCCCCTATGCTATAAACACCACCTGGCCAAAGTGACCGTTGACACTTCACAGAGCTACATGGGTAGGAGATGTGTGTTCGGTTGCTCAAACGCTCGAGTTTCATTAAATGTGCCAACTGTACGTTGGTTAAGAATGAAATTGCCAGAATTTATTCACACCTCTACTATTAAATCCAACGTATCATCAGCGCTTGGATTCGCTTCCATGGTGCTGTCAAGTACGACTTCTGTGAGGTAAACTAAACGCTATTGGCTATTTGAAAAAGGGGGAGGAGCCTGCAATGAGTCCCACCTTAGCTTCATGTTTCAGTGGAAATTCAATCAACGCATCATACAAAGCTGCACGTTCCAAGGCACTTCAGAAAAAAAACCTTTAGCTAAATGAACGGACCATTTCCCACAATTAACAAACAAGACTTTGAGTAGAGGTCTTCTACTTGTTTAACATAAATTATCTAACTATCTGCTCAGGAACTGCCTTTGCTATATGCAGAGCCTCTTCTTTATATGGGATGAGTTAATGCATAACCTGACTGGAATGTCATGTCAAATGGAGTCGCTACATCTGGACCTGTTTCTGCGATGACCTGGATCAATAAGAATCTTCACATATGCTCAAGCAGAGCGTGTTTGCCATGCCTCGACCGTTCAGCGCACCTCTTGCGCCACACAGTGATAACGTGTGTTTGTTTACCCGGTTCGTTTGAAGGGTAGACTGAGGTTAAGCAGCTAAGTGTGTCAATGTGTTAAAGCCTGAGCCGGTCTGGATTAACTCAGGGCATCTGCTACAGCTCAATCACACTCATACACACAAACACAGAGACAGAATTCGCAGAATAGCCAGCTTTTACTTAATTAACAGATTGTTCTTTCTAGAATTCTTGGTATCAACATTTTCATGAAGAAAAGACTGTTTATGAATGAACAAGCACTTTTGTAGGGCACTTTAACCGATTAAAAGGTAAAAACTTAATTGTCATGTCAAAGAGATTAAATATGAATTAAAATTGTAAAATGTGAATGTAATGTGGTTAAAGGTTATTTAAGGAGACTGTAACTTATTCACTGGTCTGACTGTACCACAGAGTTAGATAGGTGCCCTTTCCCCTAGTTTTGCCTGAACAGCGCTGTTGTTATTGGGCCAATGACAGTCAACCGTGGCCACAGGGAAACATTCAAGTTTATCATAACACATGAACACAGAACATTTATATGAGTTTAATCATAATAGCAATATTGTTAACTTACAAAATGCCAACTAAAATACTGTATGCATTACGGATACAAAAGGTAAATCTGTGTAAATAGCTTTACTGAAATTCATGATGTAAATTGTTATAATCTTAATATCTTCAAGCCTTATAGTCACATTTAGCAGATTTTGTTGACCTTGGAACAACATTCCAAACAACCAAACTGATTTGGAGGGAGAAGTTTAAAGTTTGTCAATTTTATGCTTAAAACCAGGGTTAGCTGCTTCTACAACATTCTTATGTATAATTTCCCTCTGATTTTAGGGATAAGTTAGGTAAGAGGTAGGGATAGGACTACATTTTTCAGAGCGTTGTTCCAGGATCAACAAAATATGTTGATCCACAAACATGTTGCTCTTGGCAATATCACAATGACCTATATATTGCTTCATATAAGTATGTATGCAAGTATATATCCAACTTTTATTATTTGGCTGGGCGATAATAAATTGGTGTCATTAGCAATTTACCATTAAAGTTACTTAAATTTTCTCACATGAAACTATTTTATGATTTCAGATGACTTGGAATAGATGCATATGGAGCACTTCTATGTTCCTTTTAATAGTGTTTTTGGCTTCTTTTTTTTTAGCTTAAAAAAACACAGAAACTATTTAATTTCAGTGTTCTGGACATTATACCAAACATATATTTCTGTTCCACGGAAGAAGAAAAAAGAAGAAGTAAAGTATAGAGGTTTGGAATGACATGAGCGTGAGACAATGACAATTTTCATTTTGGAGTTGAAATTATTCAATCACAACTCAGCAATTTTTTTGGGTGGGTGAATGGATTTATAGATTCATGTTTGTCACCAAAATTGGAGTTTTTATGGAAATCCCATGTGTTCTTTTCTGATACCAAAGAGGTCATATGGCGCCAAAGTGTTTTAGTGATGGCCTGAGTCAAGTGTTAGTCAGCTTGTTGCTATAATAAACAGTTTGGTCAAACTGGATGGATAAATAGAACAAAAATGCATTTCTTCATGAGTACATTGCCCAGATTAGGCCATGCCAAGCACAAGCTACAATAAATTCTCATGTAAAAATCTGCCCCATATGTCAGTTGCGACAGCAGATGGTCCTAAGTTGATCTGATCACTCTAATGCAGTGTGAAAACACTGTGGCTTCTCGCAGATCAAGAGCAAGAGGTTACACACTGCTTTAAGACAGGGCCATGCTATAATTAGCGGGGTTGTTTGTTTGTTTCAGCAAGACGAACATACTGCTGTTCCTCACGGCATGCAACACAAACATGCATGCTGTCAGTTTTGCTTTCCCTCCAGTTTTTCAGAGCTGTTGTGTAAGCACAAACTGTCTGAACAGTAGTGCGTGAGTGTGAGGTATATCAGGGTCAACAAGATTGAAGAAAAAAATGTTGAAGGACAAAAATAAGATAAGATAAAATAGACAAAATGAGATATTGCAGATTAATTTAGTACATTATGAGATAATTGGATTTATTCCATCATGTTGAATTGTAGCCTGTATCTTATTTTTTGTCACATTTTAGGTATTAGTTGTCTAACAAACCCCAGCTTTTACTCCAAACAGGCCTGTAAGAACTCAACTTGTCTGATTTTACATGCAGTCTTCATGTAAAAAAAGCAAGCTTCACATATTACATTGCTATCATATTAATAATAATATTGCATTACTTGCTATATTTCATAAAAAAGTGTTTTCTTTCTCATTATCATATGCTTTCATAAAGGTCATTATGGCTGAATTTCTGTATGCTTTAGAAACCAGTTTAAAAAGAGAAAGAAAAAAAAAACAATTCCTAGTACTGGGCCAGTACCATAGTGACATAAGTAGACTTTGAAATATAGGCTATGGCACTGGGTGTTTTTCACTTCTTGATATAGTAGTGTTACCCCATTGCATAACACTGTGTTAAAGCAGCGAACGCAGTTCTTGTCTTTACAGAGCAACTTAGTTTTTTATCAAACCAACATTATAAGTGTTTTATAGCTTGTTGTGGCATTAACCTCCTTTTTGCTATCTTGAAAAAGGACAGCTGGGTCGCGCGTCACTGGTCTAAATATAGTTTCCGTACCTTTATTGAGGACAACAGTCGGTTTTCAGGACACGAGAGGAAAGTGAAAAGGGCGGGGGGGAGATTGAGCAATATTACTTAATGCTTTCGAAAAGATTATTCTGACGAAAACTGTAACGAGGGAGAGATTAGAGAGAAGAGGAGGGTCCTGTGTGCGTACGGAGGGGGGCGGTCCGTTCATCCACTCACACACATGTGGTTCAGTCGGGGTGATGGAGCGTCCTCGACTGAACCTCATCAAGCAAAGGCACAAATAGGGGCCGCGCGCGTTGCAGGCGGAACGGTTGAACGGCGCGAACAGTGTGTTTGACTTTAACCGGCGACGAACGAAAGCGAACACCGTGTGTTTTCTTCTGAGGAGAACCAAGAACCAGATTCTCTGCGGATCTTGAGTCACTGGAAACGATTTCAACTGAAGACATTTTGAACAGAATAAGCCACACGGCGATTTATAATGGTAAAATCCGTTTTTTTGTAATTTTATAAAGTTTACATTTCATTTGTTTGAAGATACTTTTATATTTGTGTATAGGCCTACATCTATAGCACCACAGTTGCTGCTATTCATTAAAAGTTGTATGACTTGTGTGCTCAATTAGTTTTATTCCCTTTTTTTTTAAATGTAGGCTAGCCTAGATTAAGTCTAAATGTTTAATATGGACAAATTATAGATCTTGGGAATGTTAGTTGGAAAATCCTGTTCCGGTTTTGGGACACATATCAAATGATGTAGGCTAGTAGGTTATCATTTATGGTCCAAATGTAGGCTATCATTATATCATTACTGGTCCAAAGATGACTTGGACCATTTAGACAAGTTAGAAACCAGCTAAAATGTTCCAAAGCAGCTACCAACTTAAGAAGGTTTTTTTTTTTTCAGCATGGTTGAGTAAGAATTTCGATAAAGGGGATGTTAACATTATGCAATTCTAGTGCGGGAGGCTTTGGATATGATTAGTAAACTTAGCCCACATCTTTTTATTTGGATCTTTACAATGCATTTAATATATATTTAATGTATTCTGAAATATAGTTTATTTTAGCTAAATACATAAAATCAAAGTTATTATGAACTTTTCACTTTATATTGGTGAAAGCAATTGAATTATGTTTAGTCCATTGATTCAGGTTTTCTTAATTTGTTCTTTATTTTTATAGGAGTTTTTAACATATAGCTTTCTGTATATTAAACTATTTTTGGTTACACTTTATTTTACAGTGTCCTTGTAACATGTTTCATGTACTTACCATAGTAATAACAGTAAATTATGCATAATTACATGCAACTAACCCTCAACCTAATCCTACCCTAACCCTATAGTAAGCACATGTTGTTAATTAATATTACTCCGTATTTAAATACAGAATTACACTGTAACAGTGACATCTTAAAATAAATTGTAACCCTATTTTCTTTTCTTTTTTTATCTGTACCAATGTAACAGAACAGCTTGTTAAGTAAGGCAGGATTTCATAATGAAAGTGACTCACTGGGACAGGAAGAAGATAAGACTCACTCACGCACAAGCTGTTCTGCAAATAGGTCAACATAGGAATTCTTAGAGGCGGCACTTCTGGTTTACATAAAGTAGCCGCTTACTGTTTTATGTAAAGAAATCCGAGTGCGATGCCTAACATGATATGTGAGAATGTTCTGTTGCATCACTTTGCGTAAGATGGCTATATAACTGTACAGTTGTTAACCTGATATATTATGTGGTGTAGCACATACTGTGCTTTGCCACTGGGAGGTAATGAAGTTACATAACACTGTGTTGTAACTGATCTTACGTAACTGTTCTTGTGTTCTTTCTGCCACCAGGTGGAGCCACTGCTGTGTCAATAACATCTGAAATTGACCTGAAAACCACACGCTCAGAAACACAACAGAGACTTTTAACACTGCAATTGAGAAAAATAAATAACTTCGAGATGTATGAAGAGTCATCTCAGGAGATGAGAGAGCAGAACGCTGGAGTTTTGAAAGCTGTTGAACCCTCCACCAGCACAGGGTTGATGGGGTTAAATGTGTCCGCTCCCAGCAGCACAATGTCTTTCACTGATGAAGCCGTGTCCATCCTGACGTCCAGCAGTTTGCTCGCACGCTCGCTTCTGGGCCGGACGTCGGCGCTCAAACGCGAAGATGCCGCTTCAGCCAGCGCCAACTCTGCGAGACGCAAGCGCGAGTTCATTCCTCATGAGAAGAAGGACGAGGGCTACTGGGACAAGCGCAAGAAAAACAACGAAGCCGCGAAGCGTTCTCGCGAGAAACGCCGCGTCAATGACATGGTGCTGGAAAACCGCGTGCTGGGTTTGCTCGAGGAGAACGCCAGGTTACGAGCAGAACTGCTTGCACTAAAATTTCGCTTCGGCCTCATTAAAGATCCCTCGAATGCTTCCATACTTCCGCTCACGACAGGAACCTGCGTCCCACATCCTTCAGCGCCGCATTACTACCTTCCACGTGGGGATGGCGCTCACCATGCGGGTCCAATGTTGCCCAATGCTCAAAGCGGGCCACAATCTGGGCGAAGCATCAGAGATACAAACAGTATGTCAGAAGATTCGGGTTTCTCCACGCCTAGTGGGTCCAGTGTCGGTAGTCCCGTCTTCTTTGAGGACAGACTGAGCGACCATGGAAAGTTGTCCCCGCATCAAGCAGATGAGCTCGGCTATGAGTCCCATCACTCTCCAACTGATGTTTTAGCAATGGGACACGCGCCCATGTCATCCAACCGGATGGAGTCGATGGATAGTTTGAAGAGCCTTCCGCACAAGCTGAGGTTCAAGTGTCCGGGCGGCGGCGAATGCGTCAATCTTGGAGAACGGCAAAGTCCCGTGCTGCCCAGAGTTCACAGCCTTTCGGGTACAAGCGAAGGAGCGGGTTACTGGACACAGCAGGAGGGAGAAGACACCCGAAAAGTCACACCACTGCCACAGCAGCTGCAACACAGAAATTACAGCCACAACATGAACCCGAACGAATCGCAATACCAGGCCGAAAACAGCATGCTCAAATCTCAGCTCAGCTCCCTCGGCGAGGAGGTGGCCCAGCTCAAAAAGCTCTTTTCCGAGCAGTTGCTCACCAAAACGAATTAAGACATTGTAAAAGTTTGAGCAAACTGGAACATCCTCAGTCGAAGTCATGAACAATGAACATCCGTTGATCAAAAATCTAAAGAAAGCAGCATGTGCATCACTACCTCTTCACACTCGGTCAAAACCAAACGGACCTTGCATATCCACCTTATTTTGAGAGCTATTTTTCGTGAATGTGTGAAATTTCTGATTCATTGGCCACTATGCTGTAGGTAAATAAATAGAAGGATGATAAGTACAAAAAACGAGCAGCGCATCAGACCGTTTTTGTACAGCTGAAAGAACTGGAAGTGAACGACAACGGAAACCTCGCACATTCAAGTTACAAATGGCCGCACCCGCTTTTACGTTAAAAATAAGGTGGATGATGACTTTTTTTTAACCCCCTTTCCTTCAACTCTCATTCAGGACCGTGCAAGAGCATTCCAGTGGCATCGGGACACGTCAGCTACAACACCTCACCTCAATTCGTTCGGTTCCTCCTTTTGCCTCAAACACTGTGATCTTGCTCAAAAACACCTCAGGCGGTAAAACCATGTCTCCACACACTGAACTGTTCTTGTCACTGTACGTGTAAAATGAAGCACAGCTTCCTCCGTCGTAACGTCATTCCTTTATTACGTGCCAACACTACTTAATCAACTGTCAGTCAGCGAGATGAGATACGCCGTGAGCCTGATAGTCTTCACACTGTAATGTTCCTCCTGTGGTTTGACAGATTTATACAGTGATTGCTGTGGTCTCATGAATGAAGTGTAAGAAACTTTTTGGTTTTGCAACATGCATCCTGATTAAAGCAGAACGGGAAACACCGGGAAGAGACAATTAGTGGAATCAATTGTTGTCATCGTCATGAACCAGTAGCAACTTAGCACTGAATGACTGCATCATTTTTATTTTTTTCATACGGATCACTTATCTGCCGTTGTCCAGATAAAGATATTATCATTTGAACTACACTGTTACTTGTATTTTGATGGTGAGATTTCTGTTGTCTTGTGAGTTCTTGTGTATTTGTACGGTAAAATATACATTATATGTTTGTGTCAATAAATATTTGAACTGTTCTCTTGTGCATCTGTTATTAAATGATGTTTTATAAACAAGGTTTGGGAGGAGCACGTTCAAATAAATCATTCCAATCAACTCGTCACCAAACAATTACATGTCTACCCTATCAGCACAAGTGGAAGCATATATATATATATATATTCTCTGTCAACTCATAACATTCCTTGACAGTTCCAGCATCCCTCCACCACCCCGACTCCTCACTCCTGGCTTATTTTCACAGTCAGGAATACGGGGGGAGTACTCTGGGTTCGGGCCGCATACCGAGCGCGGAGCCCTCTCCTCGGACAGCACGCCAAACATGCATTTATTCTATCTGACTTATTTGTAAGTGTGAACTCGTGAAACAAGATTAGCTTAATATATGAACTTCTACGTGGTTGATATATATATACATAGCCTACGTACACTGCCCGGCCCAAAAAAAAAAGTTGCTGTTTGGATTTAAATAGGCAAATGATTAGATCATTATTGCAGTGATTAATATGTTTCTAGCATGTTATATATTTGGCAACAGTTCTTCCAACCCTAATTGACGGTGTGTGTAGCTTTTAATTTCTTCCTTCATGTATGAGACACATCATGCCATATTCCAGGATGACAATGATTCATCAGGCTCAAATTGTGTAATAATGGTTGTGAGGGAACATGAAGAATAATTTCATCCTGGAATACAGTGTGTGTGTGTGTGTGTGTGTGTGTGTGTGTGTGTGTGTGTGTGTGTGTGTGTGTGTGTGTGTGTGTGTGTGTGTGTGTGTGTGTGTGTGTGTGTGTGTGTGTGTGTGTGTGTGTGTGTGTGTGTGTGTGTGTGTGTGTGTGTGTAATTTACTTGTGAAACCACTTTTGGTTGTCCCTCAAGACATGTTCTTTTGAAACATCAAATTCTCTTGCATTCGATTATGAGAACTGTCTCTGAATTAGTCAATTTCCCAGAATCAGCCAGATGAACAGGTTTTGACATGTACACATAAGCAATACTCACGGACTATCACCTCTGCTTGGTATTCATCAAGATTTAACAGTAATAAGCAAAGCCCTGGAGGCAATGACATCTTAGATGTCTCAATATACCAGCTCAGATGTTGTTCGTGAGAAAGCTGGTCATATTTTTGTTAAAACGCATTCACAGTTCCTTATTCAATAAATATATATTGTACATGTGCTGTGGATTGAGATATGTTCAAGATGTTTCTTAAAAGATTGTTTGGTAAAATGATCTGTAAAAATTGAGCATGCACAACAATTAAAGGGGTATATATAATAAAGAATTCATGGCTTCCTGAATAAAAATGAAATAAATCTTATTTACAGCAAATCAAAAGCAACAAATATATTTGTCTATAATTCAATTATATATATATTTTTTTTCTTCTGTAACTCTTATTTTTCAATATACAGTATATATTTTACAGGTCTATAACGCGTCACACATTTGTTGTTGCAACTCTAGCACAATCCACAAGAGGTCAGCAAATAATTTTGTATTTCCAGTCAGCGCATACGCACTTACATGCAGGTATTAACCGAACTAAATGACACACGCAGATTTGTACGACAACATCATCTGATTCAAGGTCAAATTACACCTTGACATTTCCCTGTACTTCATTTACTCTAAAAATAAACACCTGACACCAAATATACCCAAATCCCCTGAGAACAGAGCTCCTCTGAGACCTTTCTGGTGACGTAAGAAGATATAAATAGCTGTGAGAGTCTATTTAAGGAGCTGGACTGAGACAAAGCTTTTCTTGAGCTTCAGTGTTTATGAGCCTTCTTCACGTCCAAATATCCCTGCTTCCCAGTTAATTTTCCCTCCTGGACAGCCCTTTTCCACTAATCCACTGACCCCTGACTGGCTGATCTTCATCACTCTGCCAGTCAAAGGGAGGCTGGGCCTGGCGTGAGAGGGTAGCGTGACGGTTGCCATGGAAACCTCCTCCAGACGATGCTGGGAGGGGTGGGATTGGGGGATGAAGGCAGGAAGGTATGGGGGGAGGGGACAGTGGGCCAAGTTCAAGGTCATCTTTACAATACTATTGCATTTGTGACTTCCATCAGTGAGAAAAAAAAAAGAGAAAAAAATCCAAGGAGCATGAGGTGGATTCAGAATTGGAAAAATGAGGCAATCCTGGCCAGTCCTAAAATAATTAAAATATTAAAGCTAAATAAATAATAATAAAAAAATGTAATTAAAATAAAATAATAAATAAAATAACAAAATAATATACTATTTTTTGGACCATTATCATATTCCACAAAAAAAAAAAAAAAAAAAGATTCTCATTTTAATATTCTCAAAATCTTAATTTTACTAAAAAAATCTGTAAAGTGGAAATCATGGTAAAATAATTAGTTTCATTGCTAAAATGCTGTAATAAAGTAGTGAGAAATTATCAATGAAAATAATGGCTATATATTTTACTTTATATACAGTATTAAAAGGTCAGGATGCATTACAGCAATTGTGGGTAATAATTTAGGGGAAAATTGTCCTAAAAATAGTGACACAAAATATCTTAGTACTCTTCAAAATGGCCTTTATATTCTTGCAAAAAAAAAACTTTTTTTTTTTTCTTATGACCTTGTGGTAAAATTTGACCCAGACATTTCTTAACATGGTGTACAAATTATTTATCCTAAAATAGTCTGTCTGTCTCTGGATTCACCCAGACATGCAGCTAAACAAAATCAGCTGTTCAGTTTTTGGAAAATTGGGTCAATGAAATTGCATTTTCTTGTATTTGTTTAGTAACTACTTTTAAAAAATCTGGAGAGAAAACAAAAACAAAATTATAAATGTGAAGGAGAGTGTTATGTGCAATTTCCCGATTACATTTAATAGTGGAAGCGGAAAGTTGCATGCAACCTTATTTAACAGCTACATGTTTTCTAGCCTACATGTCAATCTTATTAGGAATATCACCGTCCTATATCCGAGAGTAGGTCGGGCCGACTGCCTGATCCCTCCCAGTTATGCACTCACAGGCTTTCGGATGGATGAGGGAGGGACGGAGGTGGGGGTTAAAGAGAGAAACAAAACGTGACGAGGCACCCGAAGCGTCCTGTTATGCAACCGCTGACCTACTAACATACATTTCTAAACAGAAGCAGCTAGCGGCAGGATACTGGAGCAACTCGCCAACACAACACAAGGAACCAGGGCAAAAACACAAGGGCTGCGGAATCCATGCGTTCAGGACGCGGCGTGTAGTGCGTGTGTGTGGATCACCTCGTCTTTCCATTCAAGTCTTTGAGGCTGATACAAAGAGACTAATAATAACCACCTGGCGCCAAATATTTGGATACACACACAAAAGCCACAAAAGGTACGTTTGCTTTACTACTTTTAGATGCGCGCACACTGTGTGTTTACAACTGCATGGCTGATGCTTCTGGGTGATATTGCGGTAATTTTACGCGGCTATGAAATTAGATGACTGGAAATAATCAGAGAAATATATTTTTAATGCAACGGGCAACGGCCCAAGCTCAAATCCAGATGAATTCATTAGTTTATGTTTAGTGTGTTTACGTATGCTCGTTACAGATTGGGATGTTGCTCAGTGTGCGTGTTCGCAATGTTAAGGCGAGGCCAGGACCCCTCGCGACTGTTGACAAGACATTTAGCACTTGATGCCCATAACATATTTTAAATGCTGCCCATGATGCACAATCATTCACCATGCACAAAAGTTTTCGGAATCATTGCTTATTTATGGTTAGTAACGATATTAGCCTACCCTATTTTATGATAGGTCATTTTATAAAAAATTAAATAAAAAAGGCACTTTTTTACAGTTAGAGATGGGCTACAGTTAGTTAAGCTGGGCGCACCGCTTATGACTTTAATTAAAACACCAACAAACATAATTTCATTATATCGCCGGAAATGTCTTTATATTAGCCTATATCAATGAATAATGAATGAATAATGTTCGAAAATGACATCCTAATGAAAGTGTTCAATCCAATTGGGTTAGGAGGTTAATGCGGCGGTTTGGGAGGAAAATCCCGGACACACTTCTCGCTGTCACGTGTAGCCGTGCTCGGTAAAGGTTAACGCGGGTGTTTACGTTAGAGGAGTCAGACCTGTTAACTCTTTCCTGGTATTCAGACAGGAGCAAACCAGTTGGCAACCAAATGTAATTACTTTCTTGCATGTAAAATGTAAATGCCCAACTACAAATCGGAAACATGCAATGCTTGCTTTAAACTCTCGTTTAATATATTTCTGCCGGTAAGCAAGCGATAACGGTTATTTCGTAACTTTTGTGGTTATTGTTGTATTGATCGTGGTCAGATCACCTAAAGCCCCCGCATGGTATATGTCTAGCTAGCCTATAGGCTGTAACGTTATTAAACTTTATACTATTGTTATTGTTCAGATAGTTCCCTGTACCTGGATGTAAACTGATTTACCGAGGTCCTTGATTACATGTTTATACAATAGGGTACAATTTACATGAGTAGCCTAATAGGTTAAGTCACAATTATTATTTTTTCCCTGATGACACCCCGTCTATGCTTCTAATAGCATACGCACAATAAAGTTTTATATCATAAGCTCTTGCATCACATATTTTAGATTCAACAAAAGTGTATTATATATAGTAAGAAAATATGCAAGCATGATTAGCCTAAAATGTGTGGATGTGTGAGATTGCTTAACATCTTGCCTTTTTCTTCTGACATAATGCAGTCTTTGTGTAAAGAGTTACATAATGGAGAGAAATGAGAAGGCTAAATAAAAGAACAAAAACTCAGGGTCTTTAAAGCATCAGGGGGCATCAGACGAACTGCTTTGTGTGCCAGCGCAGAATGTAGGTCATAAACCTGGAGAAAGCAACCCTCGTCTGCCATAACAAAGAACAAAGCTTCTGCCAGTTTACTGATTCGTGCGGCTAACACTTGCATATTGGGTACTGCTTTAGCACAAAAAAAAAAAAATATATATATATATATATATATATATATATTTTTTTTTTTGTGCTAAAGCAGTATATATATATATATATATATATATATATATATATATATATGTATGTATATATATATATATATATATATATATATATATATATATATATATATATATATATATATATAAAAACTTTGGTAGTGCCAGTAAATTGTGCAGATAAATCTTTCAGATTGCTACACATAAAAGCATATTTGTTAAGTGCGGTGTCATTCTTGATTTACGGTGTTTGAGTGTGACCAAGTTTACTGACCTCTTTAGGCTATAAACACTCAATTGGTGGATTTCTCAAGATTTCTTCTAGTGAAAGAGAAAGGAAGGTATAGGGAGGAGGCGTGCCGTTATTGTGCCGATGTGGCTAACAGGGAGAGGCGAATTACTGTTTAGTTATGTGGGGCAAGAGAGCACATGTGACTGGTGAAACACATGGACTCGGTCAAAGCATTTAATTTTTTTCAATAGAGGATGATATGAGTGTGTTTATAGAAAGAGTTGGTCTGGAACTCCTCCTGCTTGTCCAAGGCCTGCCCTCCTCCTACTGGAGAAGATAAAGACAAAAAAAAAAGAGCTCCCATCCCACGTGCCGAATATTACATTCCGCCCCAGGGTCAATTACATGGCCACAATGAAATCCAGCTCCCCGCCTTCGCCCATTATTTCCATTACTGAAACGGCTGTAAAGCAACACATGAAACATTTGAGCTGAATTATAGTTTCCAGGCCTCGCCCAAGTTAGTGGGCCAGACATGCTATTTCTTCCCGGATGAAAGCGCAGATATAACCCATGTCCTATATATAGGGCAAGAGTGAAAGTGAGTTTTATTGGCCCATTACAGTTTTAAGTTTATCTAATTGCACCTCATCCAGTGAAGTCGGTTATTAGAAATTTCATTAATCATGTCACATGATAAATAATAGCAGTTTTGAATAACAGACAGACAGGTGTGTCATGTCAGAGTCTTTATGGTGGTTTGATTGTTGGTGATGTAAGATTTCAATTATTAGTTGAATTGTTGATAATGCGAGGAGATACATACTTTTTAATGACTCATGGGTGTGGTTGACAGAGTAAATAACTCATCCACTTACTATTTTTATTCATAGCCTCTTCCTTTTTCTCCAGTTTAAAGGAGGCACAGTAGCATTTACATTTATAATTATAATTATTAAATTCAATATAATATAAAATATTTAAATTTAAATTAAATTCGAAAAATGCATGTAACAGTAATAGTGCTCTGCTCATTGTAAGCCTGAAATAAGTATGGGCATTTCTGAGTAATCTGAACTGATTCAGTGAGAGAATGAGTTGTCTGATTGATCCCAATCCATGAATCCTGTGCTCAGTTCAGTCTGATTCAGCAGTCGATTTGACAGATCAATAAAAAGAACTGAATCAAGTGATTCATTCACAAGTATGACAGTGTGTTTCATTAAACATCATAGGACAACTCTGAATACTGTGTAAATAGTAATACATTTGTTTACATTTGATTCAGTCTTTCTGTTTTCCCAGATAATTCGGAAATTGGCACTTATCCCTGATGGAGTTTTTTCTTTTGTTAGGGTGTCTTGGAAAGCTCCTCTGTGTTTGTGTAGCTGGCATTCAATAAAATGTCTGCAAGCATCCAAACACCTTTTTTCCCTGTATTCTCTTTTTTTCTCATACTTCATTTAGTTTATCCTCAATCCATCCCTTACCTTTCTATTTTTAGCAAACACTTCAATTACCTTTCTGACTTTATCTCTCTCATGATGCCTGTTGCACTCCTGACCTATATTTGAGCACAAGGAAAAGAGACATTTTTCTCGCTACCTGCCCAGTTTCTAGGTTAGTGGGTCATTCAGGGAGGGAGTCTCTTTTAGCTTTGCGCCTTACCTAAATGACCATAACTGTACCTGTTTAACATCATTTACATTTCATTAACAGTGCACTATTTTATTCATATCGTACAATAATTAGGGGAGGAAGCCTCACAGTTTTGGCCATATTCATTATACATTACCAGAATAAACCAGGAATTGTTGATTGAAGCCATCAGAAGAGGTTTAAGTGGTCTCGAGTTACGTAAAGTTCCCTCAGATGTCTGGGATGAGGCGACCATAACCCATAAAATATTCACTTTATATTTATTCTTGTATTATTAGAGAATAGTGGTGTTAGAAATTGGCCTTATGAGTTAAATTTTACTGGGATACTGGGACCAGATATTTGCACCCAAACCGAGCAAACTTGTAGAAAAAAGGAAATCAGACACTTAGTTGAACAACAATATCCTGACATTGCAACAGGGAGTTGTTGCTCAGTTTAGGTCATGATAGGATTGCAGCAAATGTGGAATTACCCACTGGCTGCTGAGTTAATCATCACTGGAGACTTCGCTTTTCCATTAGTGTTCACTTTTAAATGGATGAAACAGTTACCTCCCCTGGATCTTAACTCATGTTGATGGAATGTTCCCTTGGCTCCCCTTTTTTCCAGAAAGGCCTGACCTATATTGCAAAACTCCCAATCCCCAGATCATAAAACCTGACTTGCCTTTTGCCTGACCTCGGTTTATCTCCCATTATAGTAATTATTGTTATGAGGTTTTCTTGGCTTCTTCTCATTTTTAGCTCAAGTGTGCTTCTTTCGGAAGTTCTCCTTGAAAGCCTTTTAGTCCATGGTCATTAAAAGATTAAGTGTTAATGTTTTTGCATTTTGTTTCTGGGCCTTATTGCACATTGGGGCACCAGGCTCCTCGGGCTGTGCAGCCAAGAGGAGATGTGTTGTAACATTTTATGTTAATGTTTCAAAAGCCAAAACCTCTCGGACTGATTTCCTCTGAGAAGATGATGTAATAGGGGATAAGGTTTCAAAATGTTAAAACAAATCATGTGTTCATTGCTAATGTTTACCATATGTGTAGTCATGTTTGCGGAACACATGGATGGAATTCTGGAATTCTTTTGATGGAATTCTGTACAAAGGGTAATGCTTAACTTGGAAACTAATTTTAGGTCATTTTCTTTAGCCGTTGGTCCTCCTTGACCAAAATAATCACTGATAGCGTTCTTAGCCGTGGTCCCTTTGCATCACAAGAGTCCAATGTCTAGTCAGTGAGGAAAGGTCAAGGGTCGCAGACAGACAAATCAATACGAGGGTTAGTAGGTCAGACAGTGGTTACTGGGCAACAGAAAACATTCTGTGGTTGTCAAGGTTGAGTAGATGAAGCCAGAGAATATGACAAAGGCACAGCTGAACATTCCTCTTCTAAATCTTCTGATTACCCAGCCATGCAGAGAAGTGTGGAGAGTTGAATTTAAAATGAAAAACAACAAATTAAAATATTTCTTTAAGTGCCTAAAGGCAAACTATGAATTGCTTCAGCTTTCGAGAATTAACAAATCTGTCTTTTCTCTTTTATGTTTGCAGCCTTTCGTCGAACAGCCAGCTGGAGGCTTTAGGAGCAGCAGCACCCCTCCCCAAGAGGCTGGCAAGCTGGGGTGGACCGAGTGACCTATATCCTCCAACACGCCCAAGGCACTGGGACACATCTCTGTGGCATGATAGAGCCCTGTTGCATAAAGGAACAAAAGTGAAAACAAAGAAAAAGGCGGTCAGAATCTTTCAAGCAGTTTTGGCCACCTTCTCTGTACTTTATTCCCTCTCGTTTGGCTTTGACCAACATTGTGTGGCAAGAGAGTAAAAGATTTTACTCACTGAAGAATTCCTCGGGTTTGTTAAATGCAGGAGACTCATAATAAAGTGCACCTGTTCTTGCTCTTCTTAGCCAACCTGGACACTTGATCAAAGGACTTTTTGCTTGCAATTTAAATCAACAAAATCAATGAGGTTCGGCTTTTCAGAAGCTAAAACACCTCATAAAGTATTTGCTGATCCAGCTACTTAGTTGAAGATTCTCCAGTCTACTGTACATCAGGATATCCTACAGGGAATCTTGTAACCACCTTTCCCCCATCCCCGTTTCTTCATTAATTTCCATTATCGGTGGTGAAGCCGAGGATGGAAAGTTTGAACTTACAAATCTCAACAAATTCCAGTTCGAGCAAAACCTTAGAGAACACAGACAGCTTTTCAGACTACAGCGATCTTCTCCATTCACCTCAAAGCAACCCTCGCCAGAGCCGCGTTCTCAAACCAAAGTCAAACAACATGAGCTGTCGACGCAAGCGTGAATTTATCTCAGATGAGAAAAAGGATGCATCCTACTGGGAAAAGCGACGCAAGAATAACGAGGCAGCCAAGCGTTCCCGGGAGAAGCGGCGCTTTAATGACATGATCCTCGAGAACAGAGTTATGGCACTGAACGATGAGAATGTACGCCTAAAAACTGAACTTTTACAGCTTAAGCTCAGGTTTGGTCTGATAAGTACAGCCTCCTACATGGAAAAGAGTCAGCAGATTGCTGGAGCAGTCAATGGAACTTCTGGGGGCAACTCATCATCATCCTCTTCCTCCAGTTGCTTCTTCCCTAATGGTTACTCCAGTGTTTCTCAGATGATGATAAACTCTGATTCTTCTGAAACAGAGCAGTCTGTTCGAGGGGATGGGCATTTGAAATTGACAAAGTACTCCCCACGAGGTTCCCTCTCTGATATGTCCGATGGCTCTTCTCGGGACAGCCCAGAGCCAATGGCGTATGACATCAAGCAGGAAGGGATGGGTCTAGAGATGGACATTGTCAATAGCACCACTGCACAGTTCATGTTCAACATTCATTCTAGACTACCAGCAGCACTTCACCAGCGGACTTTTGAGCAAGGTTATTCAGCCAACCAACAGAAGCAACAACGCCAGGAGACGGTTGAAAGTTTTGACGTCCCGCAATCTGCTCAAAGAAGTGTCATCTTATACCGTTCTAGCAGTGCCTCGTATCCTGTAGAAACTCAGGAAATGATTCCAAAAGAGCAGCAGAACCTCAGCCAGCTTACAGAGGAACCAACCGAAAAAACCTTGGCAGAGGTGTCCAGACGGCTAGAGAGGAAGACTTTGGACTCTCCTCATGACTACACAGAGGCCGCCGAAAGGCAAGCGTACATTGCTCAGCGACAAAGGGTCGATGCTGCCGCCCCAAATCTTCTGGTGAGACCCGAGGATGGAGATGAAACACAGATGTACCACTGTTCAAATAGCCCCAAGGAAAACGACGAGCCACCAGTGCTGACCTACGAAGGAAGCTTGAGACAAGAAGAGTACTATGAGGCTCACTCAGGAAAGGACACTTCCTCAAGTGACGGGGATCCCCGCACCTCTGATAAAGAGGGCTCCACAGATGATGAGTCTCCCTTTTCCTCTTGCTCTGATACAGGCAGCTACCACCCTCACATATTCATGACCCAGAGCTCCTTTTCACCGAGCCAGTGCAAAGATGGCCAAGCAGAAATCAAAGGCACTGCCCTACCCCACAAATTGAGACTCAAGCACAGAGCTCAGAGTGAGGGCACAGCATCATCTCAAGACTCACCGACAACGCCACCTGCTAATTTCCAACCATTACCTCAGCACCCTTACCTGGCCTTGTCTCAATCTGGCGGTCAGTCGAATGCAGGGTTTTGCAAGGAGGACACTTCGGTTGGAAGCATCGAATGTTGGAAGGAGGAATCCAGCTTGCGTAACAGTTGCAACAAGAGACATGACTGAATGGGAGACCGTAGGACTCACTTGGGTCTTGGTATAAACCCCCAAGAGACATTTTATAAACCCTTTGAGGTCCTACCTTCATCTTATATCCTTCACCCATTCCCTGTTCGTATGGCTTGGAATAAGAGAAATGGACATTGCCAGAACTACATCAGGACAGAAACTGATGCATTGTACCATAATGTATAGACTTACCTTTTGTTGGTTTGGTTTGTTTGTTTAACTTCCTCTTAAGGTTACAGTGGCACTTTTATAACAGAATGAAATAGGATGACAAGCTATTGATCGCACTTACCCGTATTTCCTGTGCTGCACTAAGATGTCAACATAAGAGTACATTCAATTCAATAGCAATATCTACAATTTGTGAGGCATTGTAATGGATTCTTCTATGTAAATAGGCAATTTCAAGTGCCCCTTTCTTAGTTTTTGGCCACAACGAAACAACAGAACATTTGCATCATTTTGAAACATATCAAACATCAGAAGATTCAGGGAACGTTCCCTTGACCAAAGAAACATGGCTTTAATTTCATACCTCTCTCTGCTCCATATACCTCTATCTGCTTTTCTAACTAGTGCTCCCCATCTCTTTTCCCACATTCAACAACCTAGCTACTGCTCCTTTATCAGGCACTTGGTTTGTATGTATAAAATGTGATATAAATATTATATACGAATATATTTTGAGAAGAAAACAAAAAGATTACATTCTTGTCAAAAAAATACTGTACAATATCAGTGTGTTTGCAGTGCCACTTAATATAAACTCCTTTTTTTACTTTACCAATTTGCAAATAAATATTTTTTTGGAAACTCTCCTTTTATAGGAAAATTACAAAATGCCCCAAAGCCTTTACAGATTCATTTGCAGGTTCATGTAATCTCCATGTAATAGATACTAAAATGTTTTTATTGCAGTTATAACTAATTGAAATGTCTAGTCTTGAAACACTGTTTATTGTAATATGTATTTTCCAGATGTTTAAAACATTAAAACTACCCTAAAAATTACATTTACCTTCTATTTTATGTAGCCTTCTTATTTATTGTTTTCCTAGTACATCCACTGATGTAAAACATAAATTTGCTTCATAACCTGTTATAGAGTGAACCTAAAGATAGATATGAAACTGTTTTTGTTCTGGACGTAATGCAAAATAACACTCTCTTCCTCTCTGGTTATGAACGGGAATGATTTGCTCTAATTAGCATGGGGTTTACACGAAAGCTCCACCCTGCTTACATCAGTATAAATGGATGATTACTAGCATAATGTCTCAGATCGTTTGCCATTGAGGCCCCCAGTTAAGCAATTAAGCTAGCTGATACTGCAGTTTTTTCACTCTTTAACTGGTTTGCTGACTCACTCACTAGTCAGCCGCTGCCCTGCATATGCTTTCCTGCTAAAATGGTTTAATTAAAGTTTTTTTTTGTTTTTTTTTCACTTTTAGAAGAACGCTTCAATTTTTTCAGGTAGCTCAATTGTAGTCACAACTCCCCCTAAATATTTTTCAAAATAAGTCTACGTGTCCTGTTAACTTATGGCACTTGTGTATAAATGTAAAATATTTTTTTTCTCACAACACTGTATTGTGCTTTTTGAAATGTTTTTGGGGGCCAAGTGTTGTCCTTTTTATCACTAACTGCGTCTTTACTTCCTGTTTACTGTGATTTTGTAATTGCTCACCACAATGTCACCAACACCATATCCCTCTTCGTCCTTTCAGTACGTTTCAAACTGTGATGTTTGATGTTTTTTTTTTATTATTATTATTTCTTATGGTTTTATCAAAAAAGAAAGTGGAAATAACGAGCAAGGTTTGTTTGCTGTTATTGAGTAGACTATGGCACTGCTTTGAAATAGATGCATATTGTAAAAACACTAATATTCAGTGCTAGGTTTGGGTGCATTTCAAAAATTCTACAAAAAAATTAAATAAAAAAATGTTGTTGCATTATTCATGCATTTGTCCTTTTTTATACTGTATCCACTTAGTTAAATAATTACATAACTGCATTATATTTTGCAACATGCAATTATAGCCTTATCGAATCAAATTTATTGACACCAGATTACATAATTGTTTTCTTTCTAAACAGGATTTCACTCAAGTTAAAAGAGATTAGTAAACAAAGGAAATATTTAATGTCCTATTATATCCTGTTTTATTCTGGCTTAACATTACGAAAGGGCAGAAATGTTGAACATCTTGCTCTGATCTATCATGAGATACAGACACACATCAATCTAGCTTTACCGCAGGCTTACATTACTTATGTAACTCTGACCTAGTTACTCGATGTGCTGCTTAAACATGTTGTGCAGATGTGTTCAGCGAACTGTACACGTACAGTACACGTTGCACATTGATAGTTTTTCATAATGTAACATGATATGCAGAACACAATGTGCGTATTTGAGACGAGCGCTGCATAAAGATACACGCAAACAATGTAGTCAAACGGGATACAATCTGTATCTTGCCCTTTCTGATTGGCTCTACCAGTAGAAAAGACTTAATTAAACCCTTATTTCCCAAGTGCCTTCATGTTCGTGTTGCATGAATGTACAGAACAGCCTGTCCTGCTGATGAGAACATGCACAGGTCAGCAGATCTATCAGGTGTTTTTAGTTTAACACCTCCCAAGCCGTGCCAAAGCCAAATCCACGGTGAGCTAAATCAATTAAAAATCTCGGTTTCCCAAGAAAAAGATTTTCACATTTTTATGCAACTCCCTCAAACTCCTCAGAAAATATGTAGGATTTATTTCTAGGTGCTTTATGACTTCTGCTCAACAATAAGGACGGCCCGGGGTCGGTGTGAGACAATTTAATAAATATAACTAATATAGATATGACTGGACAAATAATTTATAGGGTTCGGAAGCATTAGTTAAATTTAAAATGTGTTAATGAAATCAGTAAAATATAACAAAATAACACCAAAAATGTAAATGAATATATACATTTAAGCAAAAATTATATACTTGTAATTATATTATATTACATTTTAAAATGCTCATAATCAGACAACAGTTACATTTTTATTGATAACATAATTACTTAATATTCACAAATTGCCACTAAATTATTCTTAATTCTTCACTGACTCTTCATAATTCTTCTGTTGTTCCTTTCTAAAACAGCCTATTTCTTATATACGTTTGTAAAGGACATAATTACATGTAAAATTAAGAGGCCATGAACACAGATTAAACAAATACAATATTTAATCTTTTTTATTTATTTTTTATTTAATTTAAAATTATTTTTTAAATAAATACAAAACTATTTATTTAATTTTTTTGTTTTGATTATTACTTTAATTTATTAATACTTACTCCATAATTAATTTTTCATCAACTTACGAACTTCTAGCAGTTCCTTCACCTGATGTAATGTAATGTTCAATGCATTTCATGTTGTTGATAACACATTTAACATTTTTTTTTCTTCTTTTTCTTTGTATTTTTATATCAGTATGAAGATTATCCTATTCAAAAACATTAGGTCAAAGGATCTAAAAGTAATCAAAAAGTAGTCCGATTTTATTACGTAAAATGTGTATTAATGTCGTCACTAACCACAATTTTCATCATGCAATTTGTATTCAGTAATGGACTACCGAGTCCTGGTTTACTTTAGCTAAATGAAATAAACATACAGTGCCAGTATCAAATCCAACAGCTCTCGTTGACTTGTGTTCTCTGAATCAAATAAAACTGAAGCCCTTGATCTGATTACATTTCAACAAGGAAAATGTTACACAATCTGTGTGTGAGGACAGACATAGAAGCAGAGAGACTGGTCCCAAACACAGAGCTGACATAATGAGTCTGGCAGCGAGAGAATGAGGGATCGGGCTGAGGGGATTTAGATCTCTCCTGAGACACACCGTCTGATCGGAAACACCCTGACCCGGTCCACACTAAAAACAAGCGGCAAAACTAGAACACTCTTATTACAATGAAGGCTTGTTGTGTAGATGAGGCCCAGATAAGGTCTGTTTTCTTCACAAGAAAGACAAGGCAAGGCTATGGAATATATATAGATATAGTGATTTTATTTGGGGGAAAAGATCTGTATCTTTTCACATACACTAAAAGTTTAAAAGTATTGGGGTCGGTGAGATTTTTTAATGTTTTTGAAAGAAGTCTCTTTCTGAAAGAAGTTCTGTTCACCAAGACTGCAATATTGTGAAATATTATTGCCATGTAAAATACGATTATTGCCATAAAATAAAATGTGTTTTCTATGTGAATATATTTTAAAATGTAATGTATTCCTGTGATCAAAGCTGAATTTTCAGCATCATTACTCCAGTCTTCAGTGTCACATTAACCTTCAGAAATCATTATAATATGATGATTTGATGTTCAAGAAACATTTCTAATTATGTTGAAAACAGTTGTGCTGCTTAATAAGATGTGGGGGAAAAAAACATTGTTTTTCAGGATTCTTTAATAAATAGAAAGTTCAAATGAACAGCATTTATTCAAAATAGAAATGTTTGGTCACATTATAAATGTCTTCAGTCACTTTTTTCCTTTCTGATCCCAAACTTTTGAACAATAGAGTATATTTTTAATGTATTTCAAACTCTATGATGGCCTAGAAATATATTGCTAATATACATGTTAAAATATATTAGTGCATTAAATATTGCATAAATAAGTTTTAGTTAGTTACATAACAAAACTATTATAAAAAAAAAAATTATACTTAGCATATATTTGAACTCCAAACTGTAGCTAGACTATTTTCAAACTACGTGCAAATTATGTATGTTGCTTCATAAAAGCCTATATTGCAAAAGATCATGTTAATAAATAGGATTACAGTGCTTGTTAATATGGGCGATGATAGAAATATGTGCTACCAAAGTGAGCCAAGTGAAATAGGCCAATGCAACCAATGCCAGCAGTCTCATAACTACACGACTTCTATTAATAATCACCTCTTTGAAGTCAGTGTCGTAACCTGTTACGTGAGGTTAGAAACACCATTGCAGTGTCTGTATAGAGGTGGGGCAGCAGGTAATGATCCCCGAACAACAGCAGTGGAAACAGTAGCACAGTCCTATACAGATTCGGCTTCCCCTTTGTCCCTCTTTTTGTGACTGGAGCGCATGGAAGCTTGCATAAACAGGTCAGTTGAAAAGTAGGTCAGCGCTGAAGGGAGGGAGGAATGAGAGAGAGAGATGGTGATGGACATGAAGTGAAAGTATGGTAGGAAAACAGAAAAGAGAAAGAGAGAGAGAGACAAGCTGGCCTGTCCTGTCGAGGAAAGCTCATGGTAAGCTGAGGGAAAACAGTCTTCTCGAGTTACCTGGTTTATTTGTAACTGCCGAGAGAGGTCAACGGATCAGGCCACTGCTGCGTGTGTTTGTGCCGTAGCACAACGGAAACACTGTGCACTGGGCTTTGGCTCGCTGTAAGCTTTCCTCCACATGGACAGGTCTGCAGAAACACCATCTGAACACCCCCTGCAAGCTCGGTCTACAGACAAAATTGACATAAAACTATTTATTTTATAAATGTAAATTGCTTGCTTGTTCACACAGAAAGCTGAGTCTGGCATTCATTCTGAAAATCATCAAACAAACACCTTTATGCACTGTAGATCTAGACTCAACTAATCGGCTGCATTTTAATGCAAAAACTTTTTTTCAAAGTTGTAAATAAAGATGATTAGAATATGTTTTACAAGAAATATTATTTTAACTTCAAAATCGTACTTTTCGTCAAATTCAATGCGCTATTTATGTTTCCCTGTAATTATTTGTGAAATTCACGAGTAATTTCTGAGTGAAAGTTGTTTTCCTACTATAATATTTTTCAGTGTTCCCCAAATGGAACTAAAATGCTCATAATCTTTACCTAGAAATAAGTTAGACTTATAGAGTCACTTAGTTATTAAATTCCTATAATAATTCATATTTAAATATATTTATAACAAAATTAGGCTGAAATGTTTGCATGTGGTTGATCGTGGTTCTAAAAGTTATTCTTCTAAAGAAACTTCAGTGTGATTTTGATGCAGGGTTAGAATAAAAGGCAGGTTTGATGCACAAATTCATCAATGCATCTTAAAATGATTCAACTTTCTCCAGCTCTAGTAGAAAAAACAAAAAAAGGAAAAAAGAAAAAAAAAGGTACTGTGATAGTACTGTGTACACACAAAAAGGTTCGATAGGGTTATAGACCTTATGCACCAGAAAATAAGTAATATTGTTTTTGAACTTCCGTTTTAGCAGCTCTGTATATTTCTATGGCATCGCTGTCGAAGAGTAATTAACTAGTGAAGTGGATTTACTAACTTATGAGTTAACGTAAGTTATCACGAGCATTGTAATGTTTGAAGCGGATTTCATAACAAATGTCAGTCGACTGGAAAGATTTTAAAACCAGCGGTTCATTCATAAATCTGTAAGATCTTACCTTCATGCTGTGGAAAAACAAACCAGAAGACAGAACATGACAGAACAGAACCCTTCAAGCTTGTATACAGAACCTTTTCTTCTAAGAGTGTGATTGATTGTGAGCGATTACCATATTGATGTCAGTATATTAATATCCAAATTTAGTGGTGTGTACTTCAAAGAGTACACCTGTACGTAAATGTCCGATGAAAAATGGTAGTGCATAATACTTTTTGTTTTGGGCTGATATGTTTTTGAAAGGCCTTTTTATGCAACTAAACAAAAACTAAAAACACTCAACAAAAGCGTTTGACCTGCTGCAGTGTGTCCTCCACCCACACAGACAAACACAAGCATGTCATCATGAACACGATCACACACACACACGCCACTCCCTGTCGACTGTTGACCTGACTTTTTTACTCCACAATCTGTGACCCAAAATCATATTTTACAATCCCTATTACAAACAACTGCCCATTATCAATCATTTATGTTTAATCAGTAGTGCAGGATATGCTTCGGATGTGTGTCAT